GAGGCAGCCAATCAATGATTCTCTCGCCTCATTGATGTTTCTCTCTCCCCTCTCCCTTCCTCTCTGAAATCAATAAAAATATATTTAAAAGAAAAAAAAAAGCTTTGGGAGGTTAGTGCAACACTTCACAGGTTAGGACAGATAAGCAAAGAATAACTTTGTTTATATGTAAACTAGTGTATAAAGGCCAAATTCCATAATATTAAAGCCCACGTGTTGCATATAAAATATTGTATAGCTACATCAATATTGAGTAAATTTGTTGGTATGTCACATTTTCGTTTTCCAGTTATTGGAAATCACTCCTTTTAGCAACCTGAGTATTCAGGCCATCTCCCAGCACAACATCGCCACCTGCCGCCACGGCCACCAAGTACACCCCTTTTGGAGAAAGACAGCTATTAACCTGCTCTTGGGCTCTTGTTGAAACTGAATGCCTGACCCATGAAACCTTCTGTGTCCCTTGGTATGACATCTCCACTTTAGGGTGAATAAACTGCAGTTGGAGAAGTAACATGGACCCAGCAGGCCTTGCAAAGAAATGGTTTATTTGGGAGTGCAGCTAGCCTGACCATAACAGTATTGTAATTTTACATGAAAAACTAGTAGCTACCCCTTTGGGGGATACTTTGTGCCCAACTCCACTGCCTGAAATAAAGCCACTGGTTTAGTGGGGGGGTCTCAGTTCACAAGTGCCTGGGCTTGGTTCAACCACTTGGCAGTAATTTCTACCAAATACCAACAACTCTTGTGGTTATAGAAAGGAAAGTCTAAAATTTATATGGAAAGGCAAAGGAACTAAAGTGGCTAAAACTATTTTAAAGAATAAAGAAATGGGAGGAATCATTCTACCCAATTTCAAGACCACAGTAATCAAGACTGTCTGCTACTGGTGGGAGAAGACACATAGATGGATAAAACAGAACAGAGACCCAAAAACAGTCCCACACAAATGTCATCAACTGGTTCTGACAAAGGTGCAAAAGCAATGCAATGGTGGAAGGGTAACCCTCTCAACAAATGATGCTGGAACAGGGCTAGAAGATGCAAAAGTATGAACCTCTCCCTAAACCTCACACTTATATAAAACTTAAAATGGATCATAGATTTTAATGTAAAGTTAAAAATTTTTAGAGCCCTGACCAGTTTGGCTCAGTGGATAGAGCGTCGGCCTGCAGACTGAGGGGTCCCAGGTTCGATTCCGGTCAAGGGCATGTACCTTGGTTGTGGGCACATCCCCAGTGGGGGGTGTGCAGGAGGCAGCTGATCGATGTTTCTCTCTCATCAATGTTTCTAACTCTATCCCTCTCCCTTCCTCTCTGTAAAAATCAATAAAATATATTTTAAAAAATAGAAAAAAGAAAGGAAAATTGTTATGATCTATGTTAGCAGATAATTCTTATCAAATTCTTGCCAAAATTATAATCCATAAAAGAAAACATTGATAAATTGGACTTCATCAAAATTTACAACTTTGCAAAAGACCTTACGAAGAAGATGAAAAGACAAGCTACAGACTAGGAGAAAGTATTTGCCAGCTATATATCTAGAATATGTAAAGAACTCTCAAAACTCAACAGTAAAAAAGAAAATTCAATATAAAATGGACAAAACGCATGAGACGTTTCACAGAAGAAGACTGTGGCTAAGAAAGGACCTTATAAAAAGATGTTCAACATCACTATCCATCAGGAAATACAAGTTTAAATCACAAGACACATCACACCCCTACCAGAATGGCTGAAATAAATAGTATTAATACCAAATGCAGAGAAACTGGATCACTTATCTATTGCTGGTGGGAATATAAAATAGCCCAGCCACCCTGGAAAATAGTTGGGTAGTTTCTTTAAAAACTAAGCAGGCACGTCCCAGCATTTGCACTACTAGACATTTATCACAGAGAAGTGAAAATTTATGTAAAATCCTGTATACATTGTTTATAGCAGCTGTACTTGCAATAGCCAAAAACTGGACTCCACCAAAATGTCCTGAAGTAGGCGAATGGCTAACCAGGGTATAGCCGTGCAGAAGAATCCTATTCAGCAATGAACGGGAACGAACTACTGACACAAGTTGCAACGACTTGGATGGATCTCAAAGGCATGATGCTGAATGGAAAATCTGAAAATGTCACGGACATAATTCCATTTATATAACATTTTTGAAATGACAAAATAATAGGGAAATAGTGGTCACGGGGGTTGGGAATGCTGGAGGGGGCAGAGAAGTTATGTATGTGACCATAAAGGAACATCTGTGGTGATGGACTAGTCAGTACATTGGTTAGCATGCATCTACACGTGTGAGAAAATAACTATACATGCATATTGTACCAATGTCAACTTTCTGGTTTGGATTTTATACATTTTGTAAAAGATAACCACGGGAG